TTTCCCTAGTTCCAGATAAAAGAGGAAGGAAAGAAATGGGAATGACAGAAGGGTCGAACTCTGCTAAATAGTTTTAGTTAAGAAGCGACAGAAGGAATTTACCTGATCCTACATCTTGCTCGTGCACACATTTATGTCTGACCTTGCAGCCCTGACCTCCCTTCAGAATCAAGGGAGATGAGGACCATGTGCGCAGTGGACTCCAGGGCAAGATTCAGACATCTAAAACTGGCCAAGTGAACGATATGAAGGGAACCCTGGGTAACTGAAGATGTCATCACTGTAGCTGTCTAAAACTAAGTAAGCTGCATCCGAAACATCGCCTTTAGGATCCTAACTAGCTCTTTAAGAGATTGATGTATCCATTTAGGGGAGGAATCTGGCAGGCAGACAGAAGGTGGGGAGCAGGAGTTTTCTGTTCAGGCCTCTGATATGTGCACATTCTTTATTAATTTAGGTCTCCAAATCTGTCTGTGATGATGCATGTTTTGTGATTGTTTTATCCCCCATGTATACCACCAAAGATCCAGTTCCCATCGCAATGAAGGCTGCAGCAGTTCATACCAGATAAATAGACAGGATCAGAGAAAGCTCGCCTTGAGGAACGCATGGCAAAAGCAGTTTGCTGCGTGGGTCATTTTAAAGATAAAAGTTATCACATTAAAGCCTTTCCGAAAGATTTCACTCAGCCACTGTAACACTGCGGTCAATACCATGCAATACAATTTAATGGCTTTCTTTAGGCTAACGAAAGGTTTGCCTGCCAAGTGGAAAAAGATCTATACAAATAGCTAAATTATGCCACTGAAAGGTGCTCAAAGCGGTAACACTTAACTGACGGTGACATCAGCATCTGCAGTGCACAGTGACCTGCCACACCTTCGCTGCCTCTGAAAGTTTAGAGGGCTGGAAATTATGAGTCACCTTCTCTCCTGCCAGGGGTTAGTCACGCCGAGGCTCGGCAGCCCGGAAAATCGCCCAGCTTCAGCGTGAACTGGATCGCGGGGACCGCCGACCTGGAGGTGATCAACGCCACCACGGGAAAGCGGAACTGCGGGAGTCCCTCGCGGCTCTGCAAGCGCATGTTCTTCGCTCGGTGGGCAAAGCTTTACGGAAAGGTAGGCCTAGCGCAATGACAGAGACGCTGTCTCCAGTCCCAAGGTGGGCTAATCCTTACCCAGGGACTGACCATTTTTGGCAATTTCCTGATGCAAGTGCAAAGTCCAACGGTTTCCTGCATTTCCCCCTGGTGAGGACCAGGAGCGGGTGGAGGTTATCATGTGCTGTGTGCCGGCAGGAGGTCAGCTCCGTAGCTGAGAGCACACAGAAATCTAACGGCAGAAATTCATGCAGGTTTGAAGGGGAAATGGGCATTCTGGCTATTCTTGGCAATCGGGGCCATTTTCAAATTAGTAATGAAATGCCAGGACAGTGTAAATGTTCATATACCTGCAGCTGGGTTTTTTTTAATGTGTCTCATCACAAGTATCTGTTAGTATCTGAGGGAAGTTTTCAAATTGTCAGATCTTTGGGGTCTGACAGAAGTATTTGTCATTGCCTTTGAGGCACCTACCTCACTTCATTGCCTACACCAGGGGTTTAGACCCCTAACTTAAAACTGTTGCAAATCTCGCCAGAGTTAGCCGACTAAAGCAGATGCTGTGGATAGCCCCTTCCCCTCCTCTTCCCCACTCCCCCAGCTGTGTCCCGTAATACTGATAAAGCCATGTAATGATAGAGTTGCTCCTCCCAAGGTAAGTTGCCAGGCACTGAACGTTCTCACATTTCATGACACTCAGCAGTGGTACAATTTAATGGCATTAAAACTACAGGCTATACTGAATGAAAACAGTCAACATCCCTTGATAGCCAGCGCAGCTGTCTCTGGAGAAGATGGCTACCAACTCCCCTTTTTTGAAATGGCATCGAAGACAGTATACCCTCACTCTTAACTTTACCCTTCCCACAGACAGGAGACAGTGGCAGGACAGATGGATGGCCAAAAACTACAAGGTGGAGCCTAGGAATGTAGGGAATGTAGGAAAAAGCTAGGTGTGGAATATGGAAATGGGAGTAAAAGGGTACAGACAAGAAAGGAGAGCGAGAGGCAGTGGGAAGCAGTAGGCGGCCATCTCCTGCCGGGGGTAGGTGAATGCCTGGGAAGCCTTCTTCTGACTAGCAAGCATGGAGCCAAGGAGATGGGGGTGTGAAACAGAAATGGGACTAACGCAATAAGAACGGCTGTTTCTGCATTCAGGCTCCAAAAGAAGATAGGGAAAGGATATTTTTAAAAATTTTTACTCAATGCTGCGATTTAAATGAATGAGAGTTGGCAATCTATTAGCTGGCAAATGATCTGAGGCATTTTCCTCTCATTATTCCCGCTTCTGGAGTCACCATTTTCCCTGTTGTCTGACTCTTTGAGGAAGTGCTAGGGGAGAACAGGACACAGACAACACGGTGGTGAGCCAGACTCCAGCACTTCCACAAAAAGCAGCAGGGAATATGTGAAGTGCCTCTCCAGCCTGCCTACTTTTACTGCTATAATATTATTTTGCTATAATGAGGCTTGTCAAGAATTGTCCCCTAGCGTTTATAGGATGGGAGAGGAGGAGGACAATAAGCAAAGTTTTTATTTAGTATTCAAATCCTTATTCCTTTGGGGAAACGAGTGAAAAAAAAAAAGACAGAGCGATGCCAGGAAAGCCCCCAGCCACTTCCACTGGCAAAGTCATTTAGGAAGGCAAAGGACAGGGGAGGGGAAGACGTGAGGACGAGGCGACTGCTTTTAGGACAAGTTGGCCTGAGGAACAGTGGTGGGGCAGGGCCAGAGAGAGCCCCAAGGGGTGGTTCTGCTCTGCCGGAGACGTAGGGAAGGGGAGTTCATCCATTCCCGTCACGGGCATGATTCGTCCTAACGGGGACCCTAATGGGAGCAGAGGTGGCTAGCCTAGGCTTTATGCCTTGGTGACTGTTGCAGTTCGGTGGCATAGGTCCCAGCTCTGTTTCTTGTATGGCAGCTGGCCCTGGAAGGGGGGGCAAGAAGCACTCCTGCTGGGACCCAAACTGGAGGCATCCTCACAGGAACGACTCCTGGGCCAAAATGGGCACTGGGGCAGCGCCCGCAGGGAAGTACAGGGACTAGGGCAAGGAGAGCCGAAGTGCTCCTAGCTCGCACCGGAGACGGGAGCTAAGGCAGTGCAGGACGAGGTGAGCCCGCTGCTGAGCAGGGCATTTTGCCTTTGACAAAAGGAAGTGTTTGGGAATGCCGCCTGAAGAGACGGCAGGATGAATTGCCAGATGTTTTGGGAAGGGTCTCCGTCCCTGGGGAGCGAGCAGGCAGCTGGAGGGGCTAACATATCCAGCTAGTCACCCATTTACACCTGGGCTGGCAACGTCACCCTCCCTTCCTTGGTGAAAGCCAGTACATCCCTGATGAGGGCAAATCCTTGGTGCGTGCCCAGACAGCTCCACGCGAACCAGACCAGCTCATTTCAGGTTGCATTTTAGCCGCTTCTCTGTAATCTGTCTTTCAATGTCTTTCCTTTTTAGAGAAGAGGAAAATAGCGTTGTTTACTCACAAAGGCTGTATTTGAGGGTGTTTTTTTTCCGACAGGGTGCTATTTCCCTGGCTTGTAAGTGCTGGACTTTCACCTATCTGCTTGCTGTAAGGCATTTTCCAGACTTTGATTTCTTTCATATAATGTCAAAGACTCGCTGCTGGTTTGACTGTGTTAAGACTTTGGCAGGTCAGAGAAGGTCATTTATTTAGTCCTTCTGCAAAACAAAAGGTGCTTACTTCTGTGTGTGTGCTCCGGGTGATTACCAGGCTGCAGACATGCGTCTTTGTCTCCTAAGACAGCTCTTGGCTGGCGTTTCAGGCTTCCCTTCAGAGCGCTCTGCTTTATTGCAGCAGCCGTGTTCCCTCCCGGCACCGCGGCTCCCCGGGCTGCACGGATCCTGACCCTTGCGCTCTGCCCGATCTTGTGCAGGTTTCACAGCATCTCCAATGATGAGGGATTTAGGAGGGAAAGGGGGAGGAGATCCTCTTCCTTTTGTCTCTTAGTATTTCTTTTGACTGTCTGAAACACTGAGCTGCTCGGCTTCCCAGACTAAATTAAACACATTGGCTTAGAATTCCCAGAAAGGATTTTCTTTTCCCCCTAAAAAGCACCTTAACTGAAAAGTGGATTTTTGTCTTTGTAAAGCACACCCCAATTTGCCATTGACCCTTGCTACGGCTTATGCCCAGTTGAAGGCAAGGCTGTTTACCTCCTTCCTCTTTGCATTCCTTCCACAATTTGCAAAACGAAACAATGTCACAGGCATTCATTGCTTTGCTGTTTTTTATGTCGTTAAACCAAAAGCAAACACATAAAGCACAGCGATCATTTGTTTGTTGCTTATAAAATGTAGACAGGAAGATTATACGGCTACTGAAGCCTCCTGTTCCTTTTGGCTTGTCAGTTGATTTTTTATTATTATTTTATTTTTTCCCCATTCCCTGATTTTTGTTCTGCAGCTGAGCACGCGAATACCAAGCCATGGAGACATGCCATCAGTGTACAGTGAGGCAAAGCTGGTGCCTCAGACATACCAGTCTGTCAAGCAGCAGCTGTTTAAAGCGTTTCAGAAAGCAGGTCTGGGCACCTGGGTGAAGAAACCCCCAGAGCAAGATCAGTTTCTACTAACTGTATAAATCACTTGACACCTTTGCTACATGACTGGATCAAATCAGCTGGAGAGAAGGCGAGGCAGGACACGTGAGCTGAGAGAACCGAAGCAGTTCCCACATGTAATATCAAGCTCCATGGGAATATTCTAATTCTGTACCGGAAATACATAAATATAAATATGTCTGATTAATGCACTGAACTTGACTTATAGAAACTGCTTTTTCATGACCTCTTCTCAAGAACGTACTTGCCCAATTACGAAATTATAATGCCATCCCCAGCAAAGATTCTGCTTTTTGCTGCTTATTGCAATTGGTATTGCTGCTAACCCAAGCAGCATCTTGATTTCAGATGCTGGCAGGCCACCTGCCTGTTTAAAAACAAACAGAGTTTGTTTTCCCTCACACAGTCAGTGCAAAAATCATCACTGAATCATGGAAAATAGTAAGCAAACATGGAAGTACCCCAGGCACATGGCATGACAGCAGGTCACAGCGCATCCATAATCATCCACAGAAAGATGTCTATCCTCTATGCAAAAATCATCCTCCTAGCTGCCTAAATTTGTGAGGGAGAATTTGGGCCTCAAAGTTATGCAGCATTTTCAAACTCCATTTTCCACTTTTGGATCTGAGCACAATGCTGGGCATCAGGAGTCCCTTCATTTTTACACTTACCCCCTCTGACACGTTGGGCATACTGCTTCTCACCAAATCTTCAGTGATGGTGAGTTTTGCATGCTGCTGCCTTTAATTATGTAGGCCCAATTGGTAACCCATAACCCATAGCCACCAGCTCAGAGCAGGACCGCTCAGGGCTCCCTCTTACGTCGCTGCGGAGGCAGCTGCCCTTCACGAGGCCACTCGCGCCCAAGTGCCTGCGGCAGGGCGCACCTCCACCCTGGCTCAGTGGGTTGGGTAGCCACAACCCAGACATCCCAAACTAGAGGGCACATCTGATGCTCGGCTCCTTTGTGCTTCAGTTTCTCCATCTGTCAAATGGGGATAACACTACTTACCTGCTTCACACCTAAGGAACGTGTCAGGAATAGCGTGCTCTGGTCATAAAGAACCATGTAAGCCAGATCCTGTCACTCTTACTGTGAGTTTTACCTCTGCACATTGCCCCAATGACAGAATTACAACAGATGGCACCACAGTCTTGGGTAAGGTTTTACTCAATGTAAGAGTTCTCAGATTCTAGCTCTATATAAATGCTAAGTATTGCTATTATTCATATGCAACTGCAGTCTGAAAAGCAGGTGAGGTTTTTCAGTTAGAAGAAGAGTAGTGCCTCATGGTTAAATATCTTCTTCATAACTATGACTTTGAACAATCTCAAACTTCGTCAGAAGGCAGAAAATACAGTCATGGGAGAATGAAGCTTTGACAGTCCAACTACAGAACCAACCTTCAAACACTCTGTAAATTTCTTTTGGGTTTTGGTTTTTTAAATGACAGGATTTGCGGGTATATAACTACTGTTTTCTTTTTATTCCTGTGATTCTCTTTAAATCTGTATATAACATGCTGCTACTGATTTGTGATAATTGTCTTGGTATTTTCTCAGAACTGTCAGGCTGAGTTACTTTTCAAACAACACAAGGCTCATATTTTTCCATGTAATTTCCTTTACACGGGAAACTGTTCCTATCAATAAAGATAGATGCTCTTTGTATAGGGTTTATCATGTTTGGAGAGCCATATACAGTAAATACATTGTTTATTGATGCCCACAATAGAATAGCTACAGTATTTTGATGAGATTTTATTTTTAGATTATAAACTACAAGATGTATCTATAGTGTCTTGTATAAAAACAATTGTGATAAACTAGAATTTTTAAATTAGATAAAACAAAGCTCTCCCCTTCCAGAAACCTTTTCAACAAAATAATACATTCCATATTAACTACCAAAAATATTTAAAAAAAAAAATCCTTAGAGTAGAAATAGTAAAATACCCAAGAACCTGAGGTGTTTGAATAATGCAAAGATTTTGTGGTAGCCACTTTGTCCATATGACCTCTTCTGAGTAACAGTCAGAGTATCTTCAGCACTTTCTGGAGCTCCCCATTGCCCTCACATGGCCCCTTCCCTTAAAATCCTGGTGTTCCTGGTGCGTGGTGGGGCCATGCAGGGCCTCACGGGGCCATAGCGGGCATGAGGCCTGGGACAAGGCATGAAAGAGGGGTGCCACAGGGTGCCAGAGGGGCATAGGAGGGCACGTAGCCCTGTGATGCCATCTGTGTGTCCCAGAGGGCTCGGGGAAAAACATGGGCCCCAAGAGAAAAGCCTGAGCAGAAAGCGGTCCAGGGTGGTGCACCTCCTGCCCAGCCCAACCTTGGGGCCATCTGCAAGGCCTGTAAGCCCTGATGATGTCCGCCTTGTGGGAACGGAGGGACTGGGACACCATGAGGAGGGAGAAGTTGTGTCTTCTGCCTTCCCTCCCTAAGTTAGTCTTTATCTAGCATGTGAGAGACCTCCAGGCTCCCTCCTCTGTTTCCCCTCCCTCCTTCAGCCTGGCATGACTCCAGCTCCACAAACACGTAATGCTCCCCCAGCCAGTGCTGCAGCAAATGGGACAACAAAAGGCAGCAGCTAAGGACAAAAAGAAGTGTGGTGGGATTGAATTATCCTTTGTTGCAAGAAATACATAAATGCAATCCTGGATTCGACTGCCAGAATTGATCTAGCAGTGGGGACCAGACTAAGTCCCTGCTGTCAGTAGGCATCTGATGATCCTGTTGAAGGCACTGGAGTTGCCCCTGCTTGCACTAGGGTTGAGTATGACCTTAGCTGTCTACTTTTTCTATTATGTGCAGTGATAGAAAGTGATAAGACCACGTCCCAGAAGCACATAAAACTAACATTCAGCATTTCCTGAAGCAAAGGAAAACTTGCTATATAGTAATTCTTAAGTGAAGATTATGTACATAACACGCATGAGTGAATGGCAATACTGTACTAATGGATGTACATTTGTAATATTTGTAAAAAAAAAGAAACAAAAAAGACAACAAAAGAAAATAAATCTGAATTTACATATGTGAATTTGCTGCTAAGTACTGTAAATTGCACTTCAGTGATATCTGATAAGTGAATGTTTCTGTTAAGTGAATAAAATGCCAAGTAAAATTGTTCTTTCATTGTTTGTTGACCGTTTTTCACTGTGGCTTAGAAATTAAATGCTCCAAAAATGCAAATATGTAGTATTTTTATACAAACCCACTGCAATTCTCTGGACAATTCTTTCCACTCTCATTCAGTTTAGATTAGATTCCTCACAGGGACTATATACCCGAAATGAGAGGTTAATGTGCCTTTCAGTATGGAAGAATCCTTACAGGGGCACAGTCTTATTCTGGAAGAGTGAATGGAGTCCATCTCTAACTCAGCCTTTCCAGGTTACTCTCAAAGCCTCTTAATAAAAATTAAATATGTCTTTGCAAACACGCACTGCGTGAGACACGCTAACAAAGCTGCTTAAGAAAACTAAAATGATTGACAACAGGTAGGAAGCAGTGCAGTGCAGCTCCTTGAAGAAGACATCTGCATTGGTGGGGTGGCCTTGGCTCACTCTTGCTTTAAACTATCGTATTCAGCTACAGCCAACTAAAGTGATATTGAGCCTGTCTGACACCACCCAACATGCTTTAGTATATAACCGTGACCCTGTACCTTGAGACGGTTTACCCCAGCCAGTCCTGATAAAGATCACTGGTGTTACTGTCTCCAAAACGTTTCCTTACCACTGTCAAGGTATATACTAACTATATATACTAACAGCAAAAACTGTCTAGCGAGAAATTTTCCTGTCCTCCTCCTTGTGACAGATTTGGTTCCAGGACGAAATCAAATCCGATGGCTCTCAGGGAGCCCAGCCAGCTCTCCACTCCCCACAGCTCTTTGCTCATTAATATTGAAGAAGTCGATGCTGAGCCTGCACGTACCATCGCACAGGTTTCATTCTGCAGGACAGAAGGGCAGGAGCAGCAGCTGTGCATGTTTTTTTTTTTTTTTTCAAGCTAAGACTTTGCTGCAGTTGCATTTCCATAGCTCGGACTTGCATCATTAGGTATCTGGATGAGGTAAGGACGGCATTTGCAGGGTGCTGTTCTCTGCATGGAAGAAGACACTTTGAACTAACTTCATTCTGCCACCCAAGATGGATTTGTGACTTGGGTAAAAAAATGACTGATTCTTACTAATTATAAGTCTCAAACTGTATTTACATACATAAGTTGTATGGCTATAACTGAATATAGGTAAAATAAACCCCGTATTCTATCCCCTCACCACAACCTCAGACGCAACGGTTACTTTCCTACCAGTGAAAAACGGATACATCATTTTCCTAAAGAGAAAGGAGAGAAGTTGCACCAGTAGAAAGCCTGTTTGTGCTTCTTCTATCCACGCTCCAGCTGATGAGCTTACCATCATTTTGGTGCCAAAAGTTTAAACTGGCAAATTCCTAACTTGGAAAAAGTCCTGTGTAACACAGCCTTCCTCAGCAGAGGTGCTTCAGACAGGGCGTGCAAAGACCAGAACAGAGCTGAGCCAGAGCCCATTCCACTGTAGATGCAGGGACTGCCCAGCCACAGGGCACAAATCACAGCATGTGCCATAAACTGCTAATGAGAGTAGGGGGACCACTGTCCCTGGGCATATCCCTCTCTGCACCCCCAGGACACGCCTACCCAGCTCTACCCTGCCCAAATCTGTCCACACCTGGGCAGTTTTGCCATGGCTGAGTTCACAGTGGGCAGGCTCCAGCCTATTTTCTCTTCCAAAAGTAACTGCTACTGCCCATGCATAGCAGAAACAGTGACACAATTTGGCTGCCGAAAACCACTACGAAGCAGTCATTAGGATAAATTCTATGGATGGATTCTGTGTTTAATCTCATTAAGTTTAAAGACTAAATACCAGTACTGCATTTAAAACCTTACAGGCATACACCCCACTGTCGCCAAGCACAGTTATTTCTTTTCCAACTGTATACTGGAAAAACTACAGCATAAAACACGAACAAGCTGATATGTTGACTAATTCAGGGCTTCAGAGAAGTGCCTGTTTTTCAAATAAACACGTCCTTCTGCTGCAGTTAAATCTTGATAGCCATGCTTGTATGTCGAAGAAAGAAATAGTGATTTCATAGCTTTTTAAGCCTTTTGATTCAATTACCTGTTGTGCCTACTTTGCTGCCCTTAGACCTGATTACTTTAGTTGGTTTCAGCTTCACCATGGATGCACTAGTTTAGCTGGAAACCTAGGTGAAGTCACAGAAAATCCAAGTCTCTTTAAAGGGCAATCATAGTCTGTTGGGATCCAAAATGCAATAAATTCACAAAGACCTGTATGCACTGCACATATATACACACACTTATTTTCCTAGGACTCCAAGGCCTCCTAAATAAATAATGTGGCCTTGAAGAAAGGAGATTAATAATCATTGCCTTTTCAGCAATGAAGTAGTTCTGCTCAAATGCTTCGTTCAGTCTGGCTCTTTCCTAGTAATTAAATCCTCCATCAGAGAAGTTTATGTTCTATTTTATCAACTTATTTTGCAATATGGAATTACTTCCATTAGACCAGTAAAAGCCTTGTTCTGTCCCCAGGGGGAGAAGGGCCTGTTCTTCTTTCTTTGGCCCAGAACCTTCAAAGCAGTGATCACTAAGGAGTCTATGCCTCTGAAAGACCATCGTGACAGTGCTGCGATGAAATGATCCAAGCCTGGTTCTTCCTTTATATACAAAGTGACCAAAACAACCTCCCTAAAAAGGAAAAAAGATATGAAGAATGGCACATATTGTCAGGGGTCAGCAGTCTGCTCTGATAGCCTAACTGGTGCCTGCGTCACCCTTCCCTTGGGATCTCAAAGTCCGCACATATCTCCCTACAGATGCGGGAAATGCATTTTCCTCCTGCACACGGAGGGCCTGCCTTAATGACTACGCACACTCACACACAACTGCCTCACTCCGCGTTTGGGTGCACTGTTGTGTGAGAAATGGGTTTGCATTTGTAAGGTGCCTTTTCCATTCCTTGGCCCTGCCTTTAAGGTCCCGGTCCCATCAATGCATGCCTTCTCCTTCCTTGGGCCTCATCTGGGAGGAGAGGGGTACTTGCAGAGTCCCATGGACCTCTCAGGACCAGCAGAAGGTTACACTGCTAACAGCTCACATGCAGCAAGGTGCCGAAACCAGCCCCTCACGTTCAGTGTGTGGACTTAAAGGTGATACCTGCTGCACCGTCGGAGCAACTCTGCGTATTGTTTGCTCCAGCCACCCTATGGAGATGAGTTTTCTGCAAGGGAAAATACCCATTTTCTAGTCCAGGCAAAGACCCTAGAAGTCAGAAGGCAAGGATGGCCAGAGGCACTATAGGTATCCCTTCTCTCACGCACGGCCGTTAGCACAAGCTGTACTTCACATACCCACCCCGGACATGGTTACTCTGCGGTTCCCTTCCCACCTGACATTACCAGCCTAGCTACACCCAGCCCTGCCTTCCACAGCGTCCTCTTTTGTTTTTATTTCATTTCATTTATTTCATTAACAAGTAATGCTAAGGCGTTTGCTCACTAACCTAGCATTTAACCCGTTAATCTGTAATAAGATACATTTCTACTTTAGTTGTTTTTTCTGAAGAAAATTGTTCATATCCTCATCTCAGCAGCAAAAGGAAGCATTTTCAGAAGTACCAACACGGCTTAGGTACTGTGATGGTGTGCTCCCCACCCCACCCCCAGTCCCCTCCCAACCTGACCTTTCACCCAAAACCCTGCTCCAACAATAGCCCTCAGTAAGATCTGGCCTCCCCCACCCCTGTGCTCAGGCTATCCACATCAAAGCGGAATCTGGGGAGACAGATAACAGCACAACAGCCAAGGACTAGTTGACCATGCACAGACCAAGGTATGGCTCGTATGCAAATATGACTCTTAGTCAATCATCTT